TTCAATTCCTTCAGGATCCAGACATTTCAGCGTAAGTTTGATGCCAACATCTACCTTGGTGGTCCCACTAACAGTGTTGATAGGGGCGTTAAACCAACACTATTTCACGATTTTCATTTCAGTGTTGATGGTTTAGCAGGTAGGCTCTTCTCTGCCACACACTGAAGATCTTAGTTCGGTTCTCATGTGGGGGAGAATTTTAGAAAAACTATTGAGTATCTCAATTTGTCTGCTCAGAGGTTATTTCCTTTCAGCCCATGTTGGCCCTGACAGGCAGTTTTTGAAGAAGCCCACCTCTTAAATGGTCTTTATTTGTGTAGATAGAGATATAATCTACAACAAAAATTTTGGTTTGGTTTTATTCTTCTGTGGCCATCCTTTCTTTTAAACATTTTCTTACAGTTTTTGTACTTTCAAGTATTTGTTCATCCTTATATTTCGGTGTGCTACTGTACGAATCCATCATGTATACACTAAAATTTTCTTTCTTAATGTACAGGTCAAGACCACTTTTGGCCGCACCTCCAGTAAGTCCTGCCCCTACCCTCCCTTGCTCAACTGGATGCTCAAGTTCAAGGGCATTCTCCTGTCAAAGGTACGTGGTACAGTTTTTAGAGTCGTTGTTTTGAGGACTTGGTGTTTGTTAAGACGAGGGATTTCAATGCCGATGGTCAGAACTGAATATCCGTTTCTGTACTTAAGTGAGTGAAGAATGTCTTTTTGACCATGGACTCTGATCAGCACTTATATGACCTTATTGCAGCTTTTGGTTATGTCTTATAGAAAGGCACTTTACTCAACTTTTCCTCACTTCACCCAGGTGGGAACAGGTGCCCGGCCACAGACAACGAAAAATCTTATTTGTATATTCGTTATAACACCTGTAAAATAGCAGCTTGCGCTGAATGCTTGCTAGGAAATTAAGATTGTTTCAGAGTGTTACGAGGTCTCCTTGGGTAATAGTATAGAATGTATAGCACTTAAAACTTGCTGTTGAATTGGAATGTTCACGAGACAAATGCTAGTTATTATAAATTATCATGGTGGGGTTGGTACTACATGTATGTCCAACAGGAATAGGAAACAATCTGCTGCGGTCATTGATTATCACTCTCTCTCTCTCTCTCTCTCTCTCTTTCTCCCTCTCTCTCTGTCTCTCTCTCTCTTCTGGCGCTGTGGCTTCATAAACGGTCAGCGATGCCGACAGCACGCAGGAACTCAACACTTGCTCGGGGGTCCTTAAAAGTGCTGAAAGTGGGTTACTGAAATGTCCCAGCAGACGGGTTCTAGCACGATAGCTGGCGGGACATCTCAGGAACACATGGTCCATAGTTTCGTCCTCCTCTTTGCTGGCTCGACAGAACAGATCTGGGTTGTCCGCTGACGCAGTTTTGTGGAGATATGATCCACCAGTTCTTATTCATTGATTATCAGTGCATACTAAGACATGATGGTGGTTGCGGGGAGGCTGTTCTTCTTTACTTTACTTTAACTCATGAGGATTTTTTTCCTGTCCCCAGTTTGGTCTGTATTTCCATGACATCTTGTTCAGGCAGACGGTACCCCCTGAGCTCAAGATGAACCAGAGTCGAACACCGGAAGACTTTGTCGGCAGGTAAATTGTTAGTGGAGAATTACCCTATACAATTGGGAAGGTGTTGAGATGGAACTCGCAGGGTGAGAGGAACAGAGGAAGTCCAAGAACAAGATGGTGGAGAAAGGCAGAGGAAAGCAAATGCCAGGGTACAGGGGGGAAAATGACATGATATAGGTTTAACGCTCCTATCAATACTGTGAGGGCATTTAAGAGGCAGAAAAGGACTGAGCCAAGAGGGAAATTCTTGTAAAGTGCCTTTCCCAAGACCACAACATTGGACTGGTCTAAGGCTCAAACCTCTGAACCTGCAATCTCATAGTTACGAGTCCGACAGCCAAGCCACAAGGCTACGGATGACACTAGGTACGTGGGGAAAGTTGATACAACTGGAGAGGCAAAAGGCAGAGACCTCTGGTGTGGTATTATAGATGACCTAAGCTTTTATCAAAGAAATTATAAAAAATCAAGGGGAAGGTAGTCAGAGAGAATGATGCACAGAAAAGTGGGAAGACATGGAATAATATCAAGAAGTTAGCCCACGTAGGGACAGGTGGAAAGTGTTTGTGGCTTATACCTTGATTCAGGCTGAGATAAGCAATGATGATGATTGTTATAGGGGGAGTCAAAAGGCAAGAGAGAGACGGATAAAGAAGGAGAAAAGAAAGGTGAATGAGGGTTTTCGTCTTTGAAAACGGATCTAATGTAATATTTGGCAGAAAACGGTCAAAATTTAAGGGAAGTAATCTAGTAAAACGTGCCTCTTACCTCTATTATATATTGGTTATGTCCCTTGGCACCCACGTCTGACTTTACCCCACGTCTGACTTTACCGCAAGACCCGCCGAGACCCAGAGTTTTTATCAACAATAATAATGTCATTCACTTCACTCCAATTCTTAATAGCTGACTGAACCCTTCTCTGGTGTTTTGCGTAAAATTTTTAAGGTGTTTCATGAATCATAGTCATGGAAAAACTGAGGAAAAGATACCCAACAAAAATAAGTATTCTTCCTCCCTTTTTTTAACATTATTATTATTATTATTATTATTATTATTATTATTATTATTATATGTGTTAAGACGCAGTGAAATCAGGTGCTCATCAAATTTAGAAGTCGAGATATTTGTGATTGAAGGAGGTGGGGGTCGTTTGGTGTCAGAGGTAAAATTAGCGAGAAAATGGCCGCCAAAGTTTGGTGACTTCCAAAGCTTGAGGGTCCTTGAAAACTGCACATTTACAAGTTTTTGTGCCTTTGATCAACATTTTTTAGTGAACTCTATACAAACATTTGTTTTTAAATGGATATTAACACTTTGCCGCATCATCTCGCCAATTGGCGATGTTTACCACCCAGTTTCTTTGGATTTTCCCCAAAATATGATGGCAAAGTGTTAAAGGTGTTGAGCCAAAGGAATAAAAAAAATTTTGTAAACTGTCCAACGGTCAGGAAAAATGGCTATTTCTTTCATTTCATCATTTCGACGAGCACCTGATTTCACCACAAGGCCTCACATATTATTATTATTATTTTAGAATTTCAATTCCTTCAGGATCCAGACATTTCAGCGTAAGTTTGATGCCAACATCTACCTGATCCTCGACACGCACGGCCTGGGCCCACGGGCGGGGGAGGGAGGGTACCACCACCCTGACAAGTACGCCCCTCCCCCTCAAGGACTGGACACCTACCCACCCATCTTCTCTTGTCCTCTGGTGGGTGTTTATCATGTTGTTTCTGTGTGTGTGTGTGTGTGTGTAGATGGATGTGTATGTGGATATGTGGATGTATGTGTTTGTGTATGTGTGTATGTGAATGCATGTGTTTGCGTGTGTGTCTGTGTATGTGTGGATGCATGTGTGTATGTGGATAGGTGTTTATGTGTTTATGTGTGTGTATGTGGATGGGTGTGTATGTGTTTGTGTGTGTGTATGTTGATGGATGTGTATGTGTTTGTGTGTCTGTCTGTGTGTGTATGTGGATTCGTGTGAATGTGTTTGTGGGTGTGTGCACATGCGCGCACGCGTGAGAGAGAGAGAGAGAGAGAGAGAATGTGTGTGTGTGTGTGAGACTGTGTGTTCTCCAAACATAATTTTAATTTTGTTGATGGGGATTTAAAATATTTACAAGCAATCAGAATGTCTGTGTGTGTGTGTGTGTGTATGTTCTCTCAAGCGTAAACACTCGCACTCTCACAGCCACCCTCACATAATACAAACATATACACACAACTTTCTCTCCCTCTTGTCTCCTAACTCCCTCTCCCCCCTCACTCTCCCCTTCCCCCCCCCTCTCTCTCTCTCTCTCTCTCTCTCTCTCTCTCTCTCTCTCTCTCTCTCTCTCTCTCTCTCTTTCTTTCTCTCTCTCTCTCTTTCTCTCTCTCTCTCTCTCTCTCTCTCAGACACACACACACTCACACATACACAGCACACACCCTACCCCTCCTCCTGTCCACATCAAATGATCAAACTCCATCATCCCCCCCCCCCCCCCCAGGAGCGGGCAGTCAATAGCACCCACTGGCCCAACATCTGCATGATGATCACATCCAGCCCAGAGGCTGGGGGAGACAAGCCAAAGTTTTTCTACGACAGGGCCACGGAGAAAGTGAGTCTATGTTAAACTTAAACTTTATTGTGTACCATTGAAGCTATTTTTGTGCATTTGTTTTATCCCTGCTGTGAGTATACTTACTAAGACACAATTTTTGTTGGTGTTGAAATCAGAAATATAAATATTCATATTTAAAAAACAAACAAACAAACAAAGAAACCCCCCCCCCCCCAACCCGGGAATAAGAACAGGCAGATACTACATTGAAATTCTCTTTTAGTGGATGTTTAAATATTTGCACTGATTTATGAAGAAGTAACATTTACTTTTCCTCAAAACCTCAAAGCAGACAATTAGCACAAATTGAAAAATGCAGTTGTGTACAGACGAAGTTTACCAGGAAACGAAATATGTTTCCAAATGTAATAGGGTGTTATGGGGCAATAATGAACTGTGAAGCTCATAAGCACATCCCGTAGAGCTATGTGCTATATAAATGAATTTATTATTATTATTATTATTACTATTATTATTATTATTATTATTATTATTGTTATTATTATTATTATTATTATTATATCCATTATTTTATTTTATTTTATTATTATTATTGTTATTAAGCCTATTATTATTATT